ACTGTAATTTCAGGTGGGTGGCTGTGTGTTAGATTTTGTTTCAGATAACATGTTACTGGCTACTTAGTGAGTGAGACTCATTTTAATAGTTCCTCTTTGTTCTTTGTAGTCATTTTTTGTATTGAAAACAGCTGGTGAAAGCACCACCTAGTTACTCTGGTTTAATTTCAGAGTTGGAGAAATATGAACTCGGGGACCCCGTACTTGAGTCTGGTTTCATTCTGCCTGCAGAACTGCCAGTATTGTCTTGACACTTTTGGAAATAGAATCTCTGAGAGTTTAGGTCCTTCCCTACAAAGAAAGGGAACTGTCTTGGTGGGTGCTGTCTTTCAGAATGCTTAGTGGTAAATCTCAATAGAATAACCTTTGGAGAAGGAGTGATATTTCAGTTTTCAGCAAACCCTACTAGTATCACTTCCAGGAAATAATCCGATGTCTTGCACAGATCGATGGACATGCAATGATGTGATTTTAAAATTGTGATTTTTTTTAAATGTTGCGCAAATTTCCAGTCACTCAAAGATTACTTTAAACTGAAATAGATGTGTAGAATCTATAAGGCATCACTGACTCTGTCTTGGGAGAAGAGAGCAAAAAGATTCAGTTTTTCAGCTTAACAAAATGGAGGTTAAGATGATTATCAGCTTGCTCTGGAGGAAGGAAATACCAGGGCCATTTAAAATAAAGGACAATCCTGTTGTCTGCATAGGAAATGACGGAATCTGCTCGAGCGTATTTGGGCTGGAAACTAAGGGGAGCTTTTTATCTATGGGAAGCAGAAGGGTCTTGAAGGTTCTTCCACTGTGGGAGCTCTGGATGGAAAAGAGAAACAGTTTTGAGATTGACCTCGATCAATTTATGGTAGGGATTTTATCCTTGAATAGTAGACACAGCTGTGATGACCCTTTAGATCCCCCTTGCCTTCTATCTTCTGTCTCTCTAACACTGCAGAGGTCTCTAACACTGCTGCACAATTGCAGAATTTCTGTTAGAGAACAGGATGTGATGAACCCATCTTTGGAAATGAAATTTTACTTTCAAATAACTTCTGGAAAACATAAGTTTTAAGCCTGAAAGACAAGGGGCCTTTTTACATGAGAGTTAAACATCAAATGGAATTCAACTCTAGTTGGAAGTTAAGAATTAATAGTTCAATTGTTGTTGGTTTCTTCATTTACAACCTTACTTATACACAGCTTGCACTTGTGGCTGAAGCAACATTTTCTCTCTTAGCTTTAATGATTATGAGACCCATAAAAGTTACTAATGTGTGTTATGGCTGACTGAAGTATCACGGAAAGCCATTTACCCTCTTTCTTGATACCCCTACACACATTATCGTAGATATGCTGAAGATAATGTAATACTTTGATCTTCATAATTATGATTGTTCTTTTATTGGTAGCTCTCTAATTATCTGCATGTCAGAACCAGTTGCTTTGCATATGTTATTGAGACTGAGTCATCATTATTAAAAAATAAAAATTATTTTCTCACAGGGTGTGATTCCTTAGTCATATTTTCCTCATTAGATTGTTGAAATGCACCTTTATTCTTTCCCTATGAGATGTTTATTGCTGATTGCCATTAATGCCAGAGGTGTTGATTTTATATCTCCTTCTCGGCATTGTTGCATCATAACATCTGACCAACAATTTCAAACATTTCCCAATGCTGTAATTTCATAATGTCAACAGATGCCTCTTCTCCGTCTCTCTGTCCCTCTTTTTTTTTTTAATAGCTGATCTAACTAAGCTTACTGCTGTAACTGTATTACAAATACTTAAACTTTAGACTTTCTGCTCTGTAGCTCATGCATATTGCCATGTCTTCTAGGCACTTTTGGTCCACTATTCTCTGGACACAGCTTTGGCCTGAGGTGGCTGCTGTGAGTCAATTTGGACATACTGATTTACTTCACAAACCAAAAGAGTCAGGTCTCTTAAGGTGCCATTAACAGTCATAATCCCTGTGATGACAGAAAAAGGTCAGACTTTTTTTGTTGTAGAGGGCATAGAGGCTCTTCAGCCATATGAAGAGACTGTTAGAGATTTGAAATCATGTCTTCTCCTGGAAGACTTTTTGTTCATAATGCACCTTATGAACCTCTCTAAATCAGAAAAGTTTGTTGGAAGTGACACTCTTGTGAAGCCTTTCCAAGTGCTGTTTAGTCACCAGTGAAATTGGATGCAGAGCCACAAACAGATACTCTGAATTGGCAAAAGAACCTAAAGGAGTTAGTGGTTTTCACAGAAGCTATGATGCCATTGCTGGATATATGTCTTTAGTCATAAAAGAGGGAGAGGGCAACCTCAGAAACAATTACTGGTAATTAATCGTTTTACAGTAAATGAGTCAGCTGTGGTCTTGGTAAGAAGAGTGCTACTCCCATGAGTTTCATCAGGAGCTCCATCTGTGCATTCCTCACCCGTCACCCATCACCCTTCAGCATCACTCACCTGTGCGTTTTGTCAGTTTGTTCAGAGATGAACCATTTCCATAGCCCCAGATTCTGTTCTTATTTTTCTTTTATGACTTCCTAGGATGGACTCTTACAGCTTGCATATGTGTAGTCTTTCAGAAAATCCCATTAAATGTGAGCTATTTTAATTCTACAGTCTCTCTAAACTGTTATTCAGTAGTACTGCCTGCTACTAAAAAAGGAAAAGTTTAAAAGTAATTTCTCTTGTTCCCCAAGAGAAATTAAGCTCTTACAGTGTAGCAAACCTTTCCTGCTCTCTTTCTGTACCTGTTACAATATGCTGTTATTATCAATGAAGCTAACTAAGGAATTCTAAATTTCTCCCTACCAAAGTCATTTTTCCCCCTTTCTTGTAGATCTTTTCAGAACAATAAGCAACTCTGTCCCTTTTTCTAAGGACCATGGATGGTCCTTAGTGAGGTGAAGTGAGAGCCAGGAGCAGACGGTGGTCAAGATACCCAGTTGAACATGGGACGAGGTTTCTGCCAGCCGTAGATGGAGGCAGCGAGGCACGCTGTGCTTTTGGCATGCCTATGGCATGTCCTGTGCATTTGCCCCAGGACGGCCCTTGCCCCGTACTTGGAGGGGGGTGGGCGCCTCACGAGTCACCCAGTGGTGATGTGCAAGAGGCGATGTCTTGGCAGCGGCAGGACTCCGCCAGTGATCTAATCCTGCCGTAGTGGCTGGCAGTTTTGCAGTGCGTCCACTCCTTTCGGTCTGATGATTGCACAGCTTTGGTTTTGCAGGTTTAACTGAAGCCTCTTCATAGTGCTGCCTATTTCACAAAGCCTTACACTCTTACTAATCAGTTCAGAAATGGGGAAAGACATACTGCAGCTCTGGTGTCCCCTTGAGTTCTCTGGATGTGGAAGACTGTATTTATGATCATTCTAATACTTATCTGTGCTTCTGGAAGATCAGAAGGAAGCAGAACAATGTTTCAATGCTAAGTCATATACACTAACTGTAGTTCAAGTTTCCATAATCCTGCCTCAAAAAAAGATGTCTTCGTAAGATGTTTTGGCTATGTGAGACACAAATGAATTCTGGCAGCCTTTGGAGGTGAAAGTCATGTTTGCATTTTCTTTACATCACTTTCTAATACGCTGAAACCTGAAATGAGCCTTTTTTTCTTTGGAGGAGGGCTTTTGTTCATACAAATTACTGACGCTGGACTGAAAAAGTAAGTTTGGAAACCCAGTTTTTCACTATGAAGTATCTCTTTTTTTTGTGGATACTTAACTGCAGATTGCAATTATAATATTGTGATGGCAGAGCCAAGCCACATGATTACTGAAAGAAGACCTAACCTAAACAATACTCTTGTAAATTGTTTATGATGAGAAAACCTTTAATTTCATTACCCTAACAGAATACTCTCAGTCTTAAGTGAAACAGCAAATACCGGAAATCAGATTTGATAGGTGGAGAAGGGACCACCAGGCACTTAGAATTGAATGAAACCTGTCTAATTTTGTGCATCTGATGCACACGGTTACAGATTGAAAAGGGGCTTCACTGTCATCTCCAGAAAGCAAAATATGTATAAAATAGCTCTTCTAATTTAGTATTGGCCTCTCATCTCCAATTTTATTGCATATTTTATTTTCTTAAGCAGGAAAAGAAAGTGTAGAAAATAATTTCAGTGGTTGAAATGTGTTGCTTATTCCTTTTAAAGCGTAGTATCATCCAACTGAGTGTACTGATGAAAACTGGGTTCTTGGTATTATATTAAGTTGAAATGTCTATCATAAAACATAGGAATATTTTTGGTGCATGACACTGAAGGAAGCAGGTCTATTCCTTGTCAGTTGTATTTCCTAACAGAAGTTAGAAATACGTAATTTTCTGCATAGTCAAAGGTGTAGAAATACTTGATGTCAGGAAACCCATACGTACTGGAACCACCCATACCAAGTCACACCTTCCCACAGGAACTCTAGCTGTGATGAGCTTAGTAAAGCCAAAGACTAATGGACTCAGATGAATCATAGTAGTGGCACTGAACACAGTTTAGTACAATAACAGTTAATTAAATAATCTTCAGAGAGTTACCCATCATTGGTTCTTTTCTTTCTCCTTTCACTCACATCATTCAGAGTGGCTTCAGTAAAAAGCAGCAAGGGAAGGGGCCAGAAAGCAGTCCGTCAGTGGCCATTAAATTGTCAGTCATTTGCAATTTCACAGGAGGGGAAAAACTGTGTCAGGAATGGATTTCTGCTTTCAACCTTATAGCTCTTACTTTTGAGCAGAGAGTTCTGCCAGTCTCACCTGACTGACAGTTCCCATAGGCAGAGCTTGGAAGATGTCACACTTCATACAGCCTTCATACAGCCATGCTCAGAATTAGCCATATTTCCTTTTACTGGGTGATATTATCTCAGCATGGTGTCCATTTTCTTAGTGCACAATAGGTTGTCCTCAGACTATGTTACAAAGTATGATAGGACAACCTGTATTTGACTGGTTAGTTTATAAATACCTGTTGAAAGTATGTTCAATTTCTCAGACACACTGGTTTTATTTGCATTGCAGATGTAAAGTTTTATTAGACGCAGTGTTACCAGCAGAATTAAGCCCTTAAACAAAGAACCAGTTGACAAAGACAAGTTGGGTAAGATAAGCATTGCAGAATGGAAGAAGGGGTGATGAGGCAGGTGGCCAGGCACTCCTTCCAAATAGTTTCAGCTGCATCAGCTGCACTGCAGAAGTGCTGGGTTCAGTCTCCCGTCCATGTCCGTGTTCATGTCTCGTTGTATTGTCCTAGTACACTCTTGACTGTCCTGTGTAAAGACAGAGTAAATCACTGCCCTAAGGGGAAATCTGACCTCTCCTGCTGAGCTGAATTCTTTCACCTAACATGATGTGGTAGCAAGAGAAGCTCAGAGAATTCAAGCTCAGCAATGCCCTAGGCACTTTCTCAGAACTGTATGTTTTTTATTCCAATGAGCAAAAAAAGCATATCCCATCCTGTAAAATTTATAACCTGTATTTTATATTTAGGTAGAGGGAAGGGCAAGATTTACAGTATTTTAACCTCTGATTTCTCTGTAACAGTGTGAAAGAGGTTCTCCCACTTCTGGACTACTGGACCTGGGAATATTGCCCAGCTCAAATTACAAAACTTTTTTCTGACAAAATATATTGTAGTCATTGGGGTAGATGTAATCTACTAATAAACATATCCTTACAAAATGTTGTCTTACCTATCACGTCACCACACTGGGAATGAGAGTAGGAAGCAGAATATGAATGGGAGGATTTTCCACCTCCTTGGAAAGCTGCTTGGGAGGCACTGTAAAAGGAGAGAAATTAATTCACCAAAAACCCCCTAACCACTGGATATTCAGTCAAAAAAAATGTTGATGTAGGTCCACAGACAAGAAGTCTTTCTAAGCAATTCAGTACACAAGGATATCTTTTTATTCCCATGCTTTAACATGGAATACGTACACAATGTCTTGCTGTCCCTCCTGCAGCAGTGCCCGGTACTGAGCGATCTCCTGTTCCAGGCGGGTCTTGATGCCCAGGAGCATCTTGTACTCCTGGTTCTGACTCTCCATCTCGCAGCGGATGCTGGCCAGCTCCTCCTCTACAGAGTTAATCTGCCCTTGGATTTGTTGCAGCAGGCAGCCATAGCGAGATTCGGTTTCCGCCAAGGAGTTTTCCAGAGAGTTTTTCTGGAAGGGGAAGTGCAGGAGTTTAGGGCCAGAGCTCTACCCGCCCCGGCCCGTCCCGAGGAGGGCAGAGCCCTCAGCGATCCTGCCCCACGTACCGTGCTGAGCTGCGCCTGCAGTTCAATCTCCAGGTTCTGCATTTCGCGTCTCAGTTCCGTGAGCTGGTGGCTGCTTGTCTGGATGTCCTGGCTGCTAGAAGTGACCTGCTGATTGACTTCTTCAATCTGCAGGAGTCAAACCCCAAACACACTTTCTGGGTGAGGAAATCCCCTCGGGGAGCAGCTTTGCTGACTGAGAACTAAGCCAGCCAGGCAGCCTCCCCTTTCACCCTGTTCTCCTCGAGGACAGCCTAGTCATTGCTCCGTGTGTCCTGACGTTCCACCCACCTTGGCACATCAGAGCTGGCCTGCTCCCCCTCTGCCCCTGCAGCCTTTCCCCAGCGGCTCTTTCCTGCCCCCTCCCCGAGCTGTGCCAGCGAGGTGCAGGTGAGCAGCCTCCTCCTTTCAGCCAAAGGCACTGCACGCCTGGTACCAGGGCACCTGGGTTTCCCCACACAAGGACACCCCGCTTTGCGCCCTGCTGCGTACCTTGACTTCATACCACTGCTCAACCTCTTTGCGGTTCTTCTCAATGAGCTGCTCGTATTCGTTTCTCAGGTCGTTCAGGATCTTTGTCAAGTCTTCTCCAGGGGCAGCATTGACCTCCACGCTCACGTCGCCGCCACTTTGAGACTGCAGCTCTCTCATTTCCTGCAGCGTGCAGAGAGAGACAGAAAGAGCACAGGTCATTTCTTGTGCTGGGGACAGTGGGCGAAGCAGTGGCGAGGTCCAGAGGAATGACAGGCACACGACATGAGGCCGAATTGACTTCACGTGTGACTTTGGGAGCCCTGCAGGATCAAAGGACCACATCTCGGGCACGCTGTTTGTCATTGGGTCATACCTCCTCATGGTTTTTCTTAAGAGCAATCAGCTCATCCTTCAGGGACTCTAGCTCGGATTCCAGTGAAGATCTAACTAGAGTCAGGTCGTCCAGGAGATTTCTCAAGCCATTAATATCAGCCTCCACAGTCTGACGGATGACCAGCTCATTCTCATACCTGTGCACAGACAAGAGAGACAGAGAGGTGGGGAAATGAGATGACAGTCAATAGCCCACATCTTCCCAAGGTCAGTATCCCAATACAACATAAAGACTCAGTAACACTACTCGGGGCAGTGCTGCCTTGTCTCCTGACATTATGAGCAGGATTTGAAAGACATGCAAGGTTCACAGAGAGGTACTCACTTCATTCGGAAGTCATCAGCAGTCATCTTGCTGTTATCGATGTCCAGAAGCAGTTTGTTATTGTCCACAGTGGCAGAAATGATCTGCAAAAGGGGAAGTCGGAGAGGAGTCTTTCTGTGTTCAAGATATCCAGGACAAGAAAGAAGACCCAAAGCTTTGGTAGGGCTTTGTTGCGGGTCTTGGAATTGTTCCCTGCAGTATTGCAGGGACCACAGAAAGTTGTTGAAATGCCATGCCGCAGGAACTGATGTGTGCAAGACTTTGGCTTCCCCAAGCATTCTGATGAAAGAATTATGTCAAGGGGGGAAAGAACAGAAGAACCTTGATGCTGGGGGATCACCGACACCAGTGGGTTCCTGCACTCTGCGTGTATGAGGAAACGTAATCTTTGTCCCTGATGCTGCCATTCGTTTCATTATAAAAAAAGCTGATTGTGAGGGAAGACCTTGGGTTCCTGGTGGATGTAGGAGTGGGCAGAGACAAAGGGAGTTCAGATCTGGCTGTCCAGGCGCTTTGGCTTTGCGCTCTGTCCAGCTGAACTGGTGGGAGCAGAGGGCAGGACTGGAACCCCCAGACGCCTGGTTTGGGGCCCCCTGTACAACGTGGGATTTCAGTTGCGTGCGCCAGCATGTTTGGGCCTGGCGGAGCACCCCTCGCTGCTCAGGCTGTGCCCCCCGGGCACATCCCTCTCGCCTGTGGGGTGCGGGTTTGCTCACCTGAGAGGAGGGAGGTGCAGCTCAGCTGGTTTCTGCCTGCGGTGCCACCAGCAGGGCTGCCCAGTAGCCCCCTCCCACCCGTTCAGAGCCGGCGGCAGAGGGAAGGAGGAAGTCCTTCCAAAGGAGAGCAGCGTGCGGGAGGTGGAGGCACGTTAGCCGGGGCTGTCCTACCTGGTTTTGGAGTTGATCGATGGTCTGGTAGTAGGAGCTGTAGTCCTTTGAAGCACTGGGAGCTTGTTTCCTGTACCACTCGCGGATGTGGTGCTCGAGCTGGGCGTTTTCTTCCTCCAGCCTTCGTACTTTGTCCAGGTAGGTAGCCAGGCGGTCATTGAGGTTCTGCATGGTGACCTTCTCATTGCCGCTCAGAAGGATGTCCCCCCCAGCACCAAAGCCTCCGGCAAAGCCACCCCCAAAGCCTCCTGCAAAGCCACCACCGAAGCCACCAGCAAGGCTGCCAGCGCTCATGCCCCCTCCGTAGCCAGAGCTGCATGCTCCCCCTCCGTAGCTTCCACCGCCTATCACAGAGGAGGCGTATCGCCTGCAGGAGACGGAGGAGCTCCTGCCGCTACCGCCGCCACAGACGCCTCCGCCTCCGCCGCTCCTGTAGGAGGTACTCGATGTCCTCTTGATGCTGCAGCTCATGGTGGAAGCACTCCGATGTCCAGCCCCAAATGCAAAGCCCGCTGCACAGCTCGATACAGAAGATCAGACTGCAGCCTCCTGTCCTCGCTGGTGGCTATTTATACCGTGGTGGGTGGGTGTCACCTGTAAGGCAGCACAGCTTCCCATGACGTTTGCCAGCCCTAGTGCTCATGCCGAAAGTGATGTGCTAAGGGAATTTTGTCTGAGGTAAGTAAAATGCATTGCCATTCTGTTCAGGTATGTCTGTGTTGATTCATACAATGCATGTGCTATAATTTTATGTGGGTGGCACTCTGTTGGATATTTTGTTGGATAATACAATACCTCATAGCTTCTGTTAATCTAGCAATATATTGCGAGTAATAGGAGTTAATGAAGGCTCCGCCTTTGTTGTCTGTCTCCTTCAGTCTTCTGTGTGGCGAAATTCAGTATTTCAGCTTTTGTCTTCCTCCTGTGATCCCAGACAATGATTTGTAAGACCAGCAACCACTAAGGGATTCTTCATTTGTTTATTTATTCAAAATTTACATTAGCTATATCGAAATCTACTTTACTGAAATAAATTATTAACTTTTAGATCTGCATTCCCATGCCTGTTATAGAAGAGAACTTTACACTGAATTTTTTACTCTGTTGTCACTGCTTAAACTGAGGAATGTCCTGCTCGTATTTAACTTTTTCTCAAAGTTCAGGATGGTGGTTGCAGTCATTTTTCTTGCTGAAGGAAACTGGGTGACAGCCACAAAGGCAGTATTTTGCAATGGAAGACATATTAAATCTTTTCTTGTGGAACAGCTATTAATTTTATTTTAGCTGTTTTAAATGGACTCAGAGGAAATTGAGAGGATAAATATTTAACATTTCATATTTTCATAATCATATTAAAAATACCCATTTCTCAGAATATGTCCTTGAAATATATAATGCACTAAGAAATGTTTGATGAAAAGATACAGAACCAAAGATTAGATTTGAAAAATTATAAACATTATCTGAACTCGTTAGAGTGAATTGTGTTTGCCAACTGTGAAAGTATGTCTTGCAACACGAAACACAAAGTAAGAAACAATTGTGTATTTTTTTCCACTGCCTATGCAATACAGGATGTTCGATGAGTTGCTTTTTCCATCTTTACTAATCGAGCGTCTGTGAAACTGAGGAAAGCCTTGAACAGAAACAAACTCTCAGGTTTCCAGCTGTGCATTAAATGTTGGCACTGTAACTCCTTCTGAAGAGTCATTTGGCTGGTACAGAAGGAAGCAGAAGGAGCTGGTGGAACCTGCTGTGAATTACCACCTCAAAATCTGTTTATCCACAGTGAGGGAGGATTAATTCAATCTAGAAGTATTTTGGGAAGAAATTCCATATTACAGAAGAAGAAATAAACTCATTAAAATTAGCAAAAGAAGAGTGAGAAGGGATTGAGTCACCTTACACATGAAGGTACACATCAGAGGAGGGAGTAGGATCGCTGAATTTGAATACAACGTGCCTGTATGTGCCTGTGCTGGGCTGACCCTGGCTGGAGGCCAGGTACCCCCCCAAAGCCGCTCTGTCACCCCCTCCTCAGCTGGACAGGGGAGAGAGAATATAATGGAAGGCTCATGGGTCGAGATAAGGGCAGGGAGAGATCACTCAGCAATTCCTGTCATGGGCAAAACAGACTCGACTTGGGGAAATTAGTTTCATTTATTACCAATAAAATCAGAGTAGGATAAGGAGAAATAAAGCCAAATCTTAAAACACCTTCCTCCCACCCCTCCCTTCTTCCCAGGCTCAGCTTTGCTCATGATTTCTCTCCCTCTTCCCCTCAAGAAGCACAGGGAGATGGGCAATGGCGTTTGCAGTCAGTTCATCACCTGTTGTTTCTGCTGCTCCTTCTTCCTCAGGAGAGGCCTCCTCGCACTCCTCCCCTGCTCCCGTGGGGGCTCCCTCCCACAGGAAACAGTCCTCCATGAACTCCTCCAACGTGAGTCCTTCCCACGGGCTGCAGCTCTTCACAGACTGCTCCAGCGTGGGTCCCTTCCATGGGGTGCAGTCCTTCAGGAACAGATGGCTTGAGTGTGGGTCCCTCACGAGGTCACAAGTCCTACCAGCAAACCTGCTCCAGCGTGGGCTCCTTTCTCCGTGGGGCCACAGGTCCTGCCAGGATCCGGCTCCAGCGCTGGCTTTCCACAGGGTCCCAGCCTCCTTCAGGCATTCCCCTGCTCCGGTATGGGGTCCTCCCTGGGCTGCACGTGGGCTTCTGCTCCACTGTTAACCTCCATGGGTGCAGGGCACAGCCTGCCTGTAAAACTCCTGAACAGGAGCACCTTTCGATTGTGTAGCTGCTGCCATTCAGCTTCTCAAACACCCGGTGGAACAGCTCTCCTACCTGCCTGTCTCCCGGAGCAGCAGAGGCTCCAGAGGAAGATGGTTACAAACAAGATTCCTGCTCCCAACATGCCTCTGAAAACCAACTTGAAAATAGTACAGCTTCACCCTGGAGGAAGCCATCTTCTTGTAGACTCTTATGGGTTTGTTTTTTTTTTAATAGGTTTATTATTTTACAATAGGCTTTTTTTATATCCATATATCTAATTTTCTTCTTTTAGCCCAAGAATTATGTAGAAAGGCTTGTCGACAAAATATTGTTGAATTTAAATGGGAGGGTTGTGAACTGTTGCTACTATAAAGTTATCTGCTATCTGCAGAAGTGTTTGGTTTTTAGAGGCTTAACATGCAATGAGTTATAAACTCGTGCTGAATCCCAGAGGTTGAATTCAACTGCCTGAAGGCATGTCCTTGTAGATACTGCCAGTGACTTCCAGACAACCTAGAGACGTTAGCTCTGACTCCAGAAAGAAAGGGACTTCAATGTGTGGGAAATACTCCTTAAAAGAGAAACAATATTTGAACTTAAAGTGAAACTGAATCACAAAAAATATTTACAAAATTATGACTTCTGAACTCTTTGACAACGAACTTTAATTAGAAACACCTTCATGTCAGTTATGACTTTGTGTACTGCTGTGTTTAGAGAGAATGCTGTCATACCCTTGGTCAAGATGTGCCTCCTGAGGCTGAAACACTCTAGGATACTGTTGAGTGCACATGCAGAAGTTTTTTCTATACATTTTCCACTATTCTGAATTGTTTCCAGCTCTATCTTGGTTTTTTTTTTGAGACAGGGTTACCAAAGTTCTGCACTCAAAATAGAGCCCAGGGTATCTATGTGCCCTGGACTGATACAGTGGAATTAATATTGTTCTTCATTTTGATCTTCTATGTATTGAATGGAGAATCATCTCTGTGGCCATAACCTTCAGGGTAACATGTCCCCAGATTTCACTGTTCCCTATGGAAAACCCCAGCTGTATTCCATTCATCCAAGAATTGTCACTGTTGAGATCCAGTGGGTTTCCCTCAGTCTTTGCTCAAGACACAGTGAGATTCCTTATTCCCCCCGATACACTTTTTTAGTTTCCTTAGTCACACCAGAGTCTTTCTCCTGAAAATCCTTCATTCCCTCTAACTGGGTCTCTTACTGTTTCCATTCTGCCTATTTTAATTCCTTCTGAACTTCGTCATATGATGCATGGCACTTAGAGCCAGTTGGGCAGCAAGGTAATTATGAGACAGGAAAATAAATACTCTTTAAAGGTTAATTTGAAGTGTAGATTGACATGTGTGGAGGTAGTTGTAACATACCCGGTGCAAGAGGTAACAGTACAGTACCCTCTAGAGGGCTCTGGCATAAGCACAGTTGATTACTTTGAAATAATCCACATACCATGTACTATGAACATCATATCCCTTTCTAGAGATGTGTGCAACCCAAGTATCTAGAACAAAGAAATAGAAACCAACATTACTGGAAACTCATTCTTCCTGTTGTGTGTCACTGGAAGTATTTGTGTAGCACAAAATCTGTTGAACACGTCTGCAAAGCCCAGTTCATGCAAGCTCAGTGTGAACACACACAGATTTCAGCTTGGTGTAGGTCATGTATTTCTATTTCCCTGAATGATTTCCAAGCGTTGAGAAAGTTTGCATGGCAATGTGACCTATATTTCTGGAAACTAATTTTGCATCTATCCTCTCGATCCACACCCTTGTGCGTCGACCTGTTTTACTGTTGATCGATGGTGCTAGCTCGGCTTCCACAAACCCCACATTTTCTTTGACACTTTATTCACCACTAGAGGCCCCTTCCTGAGCACACAGCCCTGCATCACCAGTTACACCGGCAAACTCATGTGCAAGTGAAATACACCCTCCACTTGTGCAGCAGTTTTGGCCCCACACTTGCCGAACAATACTCTGCTCAGCTTTGGAGCTCGGACCGCTGTGTGCATTGTTTTAAAACTTAGCTTCACCACAGATGTGCTGTCTTGGCCAGGGTTATGACTGAGCCTTCTGCAAAGAGCTGTACGAGCTGAACCTGCCTCAGGGGGGAACTACGGGGAGACTGGCACGTGGGCAGGCACTAGTGGTTTATGTTCCTTTCCAGGTTTTCCACTGCTGGGTTTGCTGGTGAGCTGCACAGCCTACAGTAGACTGCTGTTCTGTGTTGCCGGGGTGGTAGCTGTACAATGGACTAAGACTTTCAAACAGGTCTGAGGAATTCAGATGCTAACTTCTCATTAAAGCGAATAAAGCTGTGATTTGTGATCTGCCTACTTTGGCAGCCCTCTCTCCTCCAGCATACCATGCAGAAGTTTCTGGGATTCATCAAACATGCACAGGAGACTGCTTTGAAAGGCCTAGGACAATGCATTTCATTTCCTTTGATTTTGGGATTTGTTAGTCTCCAGAAGGCAAAATTATATTTTTCAACTAAGTCTCTGGAAAGTTGGTTTTATCCGTGGGGGTGGGCTGCAATGAAACAAGCTACTGTTTATTTTCATGGACAAAGTTGTCCAAATCACTGGAGGAAGCTCTACTGTAATTTCTTTGAAATAATGACTATAAAAAAGCATATAAAGAAGCTAGACAGAAGCAAATGCAACTTCCAAAAGACAGCTAATAACAAGAAAGTGCTTTGATTATTTGTTGAGTTGTTCTGAGCTGCTGCAGCAGCCAGGCAATCAAATTTTTTGCAAACTATAGTCAGGAATGCTTTTAAGTAACAGCTGAATGTGGCTGAAAGAGTTTATGTTAATTTTCTTCACAGTACAGATCTTCCTATATCCACAAGTAAACATTCCAGGTCCTTTCACATGTGCTTCATTTGTCACAGGTAGAAGGCAAATATTGCTGTTAGTATTAGCATTTTATGGAGAAGAACTTCGTAAAGATCCTGTAAATTATATTTCCTTTTAACCTCTTTTTCTTGTCTGTTCAAAACCAGATCCCTAGTTTGTGCATTTCCAGTTTAAACCGATGAATGTCAGTTAAGTTTCTGTGAATCACAAATTGGAACATTCCTTTCATTTACAATCGTGGTTGTGTAATCATCCATGTTTCTTTGTGTCCGGCCTAGGTGGGTGCTCATTTGGTGCGAGCTTTATTAGCATTCATGAAGTGCTGAGATTCTGCTGACTATTCTGGGCTGATATTCAACTGCTACTGAGTCTTAGAGCCCAGATTCACAAAAGTCTCTGGCACATATTAGAAAACAAGGGGACAGCCCAGGATGCTCCAAGAAAATTATGATCCGCCCTGAATGCTCAGAAATTGTGCTTTAACTCTGAAGTTCATTAATAACTATTGTAAAGTATCATCAACTTTTCTACCTGGAGACATGTGTTGGCATGGCTTTGTATTTTCTTTTTAAGTGTTTATACCTACAGAATGGAAGAAAACCTACACAAAGGATTCTGGTTGCATCAGACAGAAATGAAGTTTTATTAGCGACGTTTTCCTGATACAGAACAACCCAAGTAACAAAAAGGTTGAATCTGTAAAGCAAGTAGCTCAAGTGCCAGTGAGTGAAGCCACAAAGTATTCCAGACAGAAGCAGTGCATAGCGTGTGTGGCAGGCGGCCCATCCGAGCAGCTCTGACGGGCCTTTTTGGATAGATGGCATCAGCAATGTTGAGGAACAGCATCTATCTTTCCTCAGGAGCACGGAGAATTTCTGTTTGAAAGGTCTTGCGCTGTAGGATCCTCAATGTATTTTCTTAGTCAAAAGATTTTCTTCCATAGCCTGTTTAGAAATAAAGCAAGCATTAATTTCGTCGGTACTGGTGCTCAATCTCTGAGACACCAGTATCTACCAGACAGAAAAGAAGCTTGATTATGTGATAGGTGACCATAAGCATTCCAAAAGAGTGGTACAAAAGCAGCTGTATTCATGAGGTTCTGCAGAGAATGAGAGAGATGAAGAAAACCAGCTGGGGTTTTAACTACATGATTAGCTGATGTCACCCACAAAATTTAATAGAAATTGAATGCGTGTTTCTTAAGCGGAATTGATCCTTTGCACACAGATAGGAAATAATTGTTAATAAAAGTAAATGTAACAGAAATTTTAGTTTATCCTCAGTACTGTTTACCTCCGGAAGTGTATGTTGATAGAGTGTATAAATCAGTAAGGATGGGACTGAGAGAACAGTGTGCCCATACTGCAGTTCTCACCTTGGCTTTCACCACCACCCCTGCAGGACTGAGACTGGGAAGATGAAGAGTAGGAGTGGGAACTGCTGACGCCTCCTGAGATCCTTCCTCCTCCTCCTCCTCCTCCACCAACACTACCGCATCCACCGCTGCTTCCTGCTCCTATTCCTCCACTTCCTCCTGACATTCCTCCTCCACCACTTCCTCCTCCTATTCCTCCTCCCATTCCACTGCCAGAGGAAATGCTACCACCTCCATATCCACCACTCATGCTACCACCTCCTCCTCCTCTTCCTCCCCCAGAAGAATAGCCACTACCTCCTAATCTGCCACCTCCCATGCTTCCTCCCATTCCTCCTCCCATTCCTCCTCCCATTCCTCCTCCCATTCCTCCTCCCATTCCTCCTGCTGGGATTCTGCAAAGAGAAAGAAAGGAGAAAAAACGTTAATTAAATGCATTTTTGATCTCAGAAGGAAAGCTATCTACAGATACTGCATGGAAGCCTGCATGTCTCTTGTCTGTACTTCTCCTTTTCAGAACCTAGCACAGATCAGCAAGACAACTGATGCAGTGCCAAAAATCAACCTCTTTCAATTTCAGCTTGAATGCAAGAGATTTTGTTTTTCCCACATTCTGCTCAGATATTTCTTGCAAGATTTAGCATTGCTGCTCTATCAGTGTATGGTGCCACCGTGTTCCAAATTGGCAAGGCAGGAAATGAAGCTTTAGCTGTTCTTTCAGGCGCTGCTTACAAGCAGAAGCAGGCGCACTGCACGAGGGAAACCAAAGTAGCTTGAACTTTCAGAGAATTTCACACTGAGACTTTTATGAAGGTTTGGAAAACTGTAGTCATTTTTCTGCTTATAGTCCTTCCCAAGGTGACTTCTGTCTGTTCAGCTTTTTTGGGCTGTCCAGCCTTTTCTGGAACCAGAGTAAAGGTAAGGCTCTGTATGTGGGTTTCCCTGTCCAGCCCCAAATCAACAGTTCAGAATTTCTGCATTAATTTTTTCTTCACATGATTTATATTCTGAACAGGTTTGCCAAGAAATGTATAGTATCTCAAACTGGGAGGCAAATGGTCAAGATAGCTGAATTATCCTAATTTCAGTACCTAATCTGTTTTGCAAATCTAGACTGTTAATTTCCTGTCTTTGTGTCTAATCTAGCAACCCTGGGTTTCACACAATGCTGTGTTCTTTTGTCAGTTTACGTACACAAGGTCTTGCTGTCCTTCCTCAAGCAGTGCCCGGTACTGAGCGATCTCCTGTTCCAGGCGGGTCTTGATGCCCAGGAGCATCTTGTACTCTTCGTTCTGACTCTCCATCTCGCAGCGGATGCTGGCCAGCTCCTCCTCCAAGGGGCCGATCATACTCTGGATCTGCTGCAGCTGCATGTTATAGCGGCGTTCTGTGTCTTCCAAGTTGGATTGCAAAGAGTCTACCTGTGAATGGAAACCAAAATACAGCGTTTGTGGGAATGTGGCAAGTTTAACTCATTTTTGTGGAAAAAAATTGAGGTCTTCACAAACCAGAAAACTGCGTATCCTTAAAGATAAATAATCCAGTTTCCCATTCTTTACAGATGGATCACTTTCTAGCTGTAACCATTCTTTAACTCCAGTGACATGTACAGCCTGTGTCACAGGTGAAGCAGAAGCAAATACCTTCACTTACCATGCTGATTTGCGACTGCAGTTCGATTTCCAGGCTTTGATATTCACGTCTCAGCTCAGAGATCTGTTGGTTGCTTGATTGTATCTCCTGGCCACTTGAGTGGACTTGTTGATTAACTTCTTCCATCTGAAAAATTCAAATATGGACTTGAGGCATTTTTGATAATCAGAAAACATTGTGGGGTTATCATAAAAGCAATTAATAAGAATGAAGAAAGATGTAATGTAGGCTGACTGTAGATTAAAACATTGTGGGGTTATCATAAAAGCAATTAATAAGATTGAAGAAAGATGTAATGTAGGCTGACTGTAGATTAAAACATTGTGGGGTTATCATAAAAGCAATTAATAAGATTGAAGAAAGATGTAATGTAGGCTGACTGTAGATTTCCCACGTGCCACTCTGCTAACTCACTCTGTGTAATTCACCTCACTACTGGAACACAGAGGATCCACATGCTTTACCACATAAACTTAATATTCCACAACTGACCTATTACACTAAACTGCTTAAAGTAATTTAAAGTTAATGACCCTTAAATAATATGTAATAAGTTGTCTTTCCTCTGCTGGATGTAAATAGGTCCAGTTCTTTGTGAAAGATTTAGTAACTGAAAACCCCTTGTGCTTTACCTTGGTTTCATACCAGCTTTCCACCTCTCTCCGGTTGTTCTCAATAAGCCGTTCATATTCACAGCGCATTTCATTTAATTTTTCCATCAAATTAATGCCAGGAGTAGCATTGACCTCCACATTGACATCACCACCAGATTGTGTTTGCAGTCCTTTCATTTCCTGAAAAAAAAAAACACAAAAAAACCCGCAAGGTGCTTAAAGGGTGAAGGTAAGGAGAAATGTCATAGTTTCAAAAAAAGGAAAAGAAAGGGACAGAAATTCTCACACAGATGTATCGCTCCTTCAAAGGGGGCCTCAATGCCCTTGTCATGAAAGGGAACAATTCTGCCATTCCTAAGGCAAACTTTGCAGTGAACAATAGACAAGCATCACACTGATCCTGACATTTTCTCCTCAGGATCATGAGGAATTCTATGCAGCGTGCTCTTTGTGAAAATCCTTTTATGTATTTTTCTTCTCAATGGGAAATATCATTGCAGATAGTATAAACATTTTCTTTTGACTCCTCCATATATTAAATCCAATTTTCTTTCCATCAGTTCAGTAACAAAATTGTACTTTGCAGTTAAAGCCATTCATTTCCCTGGTGTCATTTTGCCACATGTTGCCCTAGGTGCCTTATTACATCAGCTGCGAGCAGCGATGGATGCTACATACTCCTGAAAATCAAAGCCAGATTGTGTCAAGTTGGATGATCAAAGCCAGTGGCCAAAAGCTGGTTACTGCTAGTGGAAGAAATCCACAGGAAATTCTCTGTGTGTTGAGATTTCGTTAGTTATTGTTTTAAGGAGTGGAGAAACTTACCTCTTCATGGTTCTTCCTGAGATAGATCAGTTCCTCTTTTAGGGATTCAAACTGTGTCTCCAAGTCAGATCTGGCTAGAGTCAGTTGATCCAAAAGTGGACGTAATCCATTAATATCGCTAGCCACACTCTGGTGGAGAGTATATTCGGTTTCATACCTAAATGACAGATATAAATCTATGAGATTTATATGATGAAGATTATGCTTATAAATCTACATGCAAGGATGGAGAAACTTAGAGTGTAGTCCTTTAAATGGCACTCTTCAGTAACTTGTCTGGAGAAAAATAATAATGAAAACCTTAAAAAAATAATTCTTAGAATGCTTTCCCCTACAATCATATATTCTGTCATTGGCACCAAGAGGCTCTAGCATCTACAAAGATTAAGTGGCACTATGAACTCATGGGGGTAAAGGGAGGCAAGATGGAATGAGGCAGGAAGGGAACGACTCACTTCAGTCTGAAGTCATCCACAGTCATTCTGGTGTTGTCGATGTCAAGAAGGATCTTGTTGAGGTCCACATTTGCACCAACAATCTAAAAGGGGAGGACAGATGTTATTTGGTCATTGTCTTTTCAGTCTGTCACACCGATAGAGGGAAGAAATATCTGTGCAGAAACACATTTCAGACTATCTTTATGGCAATGTCAAGCCTGACTAGTGCTGCGGGAGCTATATTTAGAGAGTTTATTGCTTCCAGTTAAAAGAAAGTGCCTTTGCTGTCAATTTTTGTTTGCAAGTATCCATTAAAAATACCCTGTTGGAAGGAATAACTAAATAAACTCCCCATATTCAAAAAACATTGGGAAAACATAACTTCATTTGGCAACAACCATATTCATGTAGGAAATATGGGACAATTAAATGTCTGAGGGCTAGAATTAGACTAAATGCACATGTTGGCTCACCCTGTATATTCACAAAAAGATGCAGTTAATATGGCCACTAGTAGCACAACAGAAGCAAGCAATTATTATATCTCCTGTTCAAGAGAGTGAGGAACAAACAAGCAAGAGCCCAGCGTTGAAGGGAACACTGGGCAGGCCCCATGGTGTGTGCACTATCATGATCTGCCCCTGCACCAAACAGTGCTCCCAGCACCAGATACAGGGGTGCCAGAGTGCACATATCACCCACAGCAGAGAAAAACTGGTCGTCAGGCTTTGTCAGCACACCAGTCTGCTTCCTGGCTAAAACAAAGGAGGGAAGATACGGCCCCAAAAGAGGATACCGTGCGGCAGGAGGCAAGTGCCATTCTCATGAGAATCTGGTCAGAGTTAGTCAAATTACATCATACCTGGTTTTGCAGTTCTTCAATTGTTCTGTAATATTGGCTGTAGTCCCTGGCAGAAGTGGGACCTTGATTTTTATACCACTCCCTGATCAGATGTTCAAGTTGAGTATTTTCATCCTCCAAGCGCCGCACTTTATCCAAGTAAGAAGCCAGGCGATCGTTAAGGTTCTGCATGGTCAGCTTTTCATTTGTGGAGAGCAAGCCAGCTTCTTCACCAAACCCCATTCCACCGAAACCACCACCACCATAGCCACCACCACCACCACCACCAAAGCTGCCACCACCAAAGCCACCACTACCCCCGAAGCCACTAAATCCACCTCCACTATATCCACCACCGCCAAAACTGCCTCCACCGAGGCCAGATCCATAACCACCTCCCATTCCCCCAAACCCCCCCCCACCTGATCCATATCCTCCTCCCATACTGCCACAGCCCATTCCTCCTCCATAACTACCACCACTCATTCTCCCACCATAGCTACTGCGGCTAATCCTTCCACAGCTGCCACTGCTAAAGCCCCCTCCATAGCTGCTCCTGGAAACTCCTCCACCAAAGCTTCTCCCAGAAAAGCCTCCACTTCCTCCAGAGGAGGTGTATCTTCTAGTGGACATTGAGGAGTATCCACCAGACTTACGTACTCCACAGCTACCACCCCCTCCACCACCTCCACCACCACCGCTACCACCACCTCCTCCACTGCTAATTCTAGTGGTACTAGTCGAAGACTTAGTGCCACAGCTCATAGTGACAGCAGGTAGGAGTCTAACCACAATCCCAAAGTTAGGTGCACAGCCTGATAAGATTCAGGACTGCAAATTTTCATCCCCAGCTCTCTCTATTTATACTTTTGACAGTGGGTGTCACCATCAGGGTGTTTCTTTCTCCCAGGGCATTTACCAACCTTGTTGTTTGTGCCAAGAATAATTTGCTGAACAATATTTTTGTGCTGATATCTCAGGCAATCTAGCCCATTGCCGGGTTTATGGTGTTTGTTTAAGACCGAACATTTAATTTCTTTTGGGTGGCATTCTTTTCATTTAGCTTCTTCTGGAATAGGTAGTCTTTTGCCTTATGCAGCTTGGATCTGCTTTACCATGGAAAAGCCACTTCATACAGGATCCTGTTGAAACTAATGTTGAGACAATGTGTACCTGATGGAACTATACAGAGAGGATTTCTGTTCTCAGTTCTTCCATAAAAGAGAAGATGAGGCCCAAATCTCTCATGTTAGACTGTGTATTTATTTGTTCAATTATTAATCTACTTTCTTTGCTAAGGTTTTGGTAGCTGCTCTTATCAAAGACTAGTGGTCTCTTTTGATCTTTCATACTTTGTGCATTTAAGATCTTCTACATTGCTTACATTCTTTTTCTCACTCTACATGGTAGTGCACATGTTTTTTTAATAGGACTGGATAACTTGTCTGTAACTGTCCAACTTGTGGATCCCTGCCATCAATTAGACAATATATTTATTTATATGAGAAGTCTATTTCAAGCAGCGCAGTGGGATTCTTATTTAAAAATCAAAATCCTTCCTTTGTGAAGAAAGTAATAGGACACCACACTAGATAGCTAAGTCCTAGAAATCAAAGAGAAAAAAAATAATGGATCTTTTTTTCACCAAAGAGCTGTTGATCTAAAATAGGAAGATTAAGGATACTCTATTTGTATTATGAAGTCAATTGTATCACAATTAGAAGCTGTATTAATGCAGACAAGTACCTATAAACTACTGTGTGGGAAGACCTTTTATGGTTTAATATAAAACTACTCATTCTCTCTATTGTTACTGTGTCATACGTTACAGGTGATAGAGTAATTATACATACCGGTCTTAATTCAGAGATACTTGAGATTCTAAATTAGTATCCTGAGAGAAAAGCCTTTTACACAAAACAGTTGAAATCAGACTGTTGAGACCACAAAAGAAACGACACCATACTTCAGACTTGCACTGATCCCCAGAAGTTTACCCATGATGAACTTGTAAATGGTTTTGATCCCCAATTGTTAGATTTGATGCTAAAGCAGAGTATCTGACGACAAAAGTGCATGTTTCTGAAAAATCGACCAGAAGAGTCTGGGTTTGGGCAAGCAGTGCTGACTGACTGTTTGATTCCAGATCATCTACAAAAATATGCTCATGTTATGATGTTTCATCATTGTCCTGGGTGAAAGCTAAATATTCTGGTTCAGATGCAGAATCTCATTTCCTCAGCATCCACTTATCTCTGTTCTTACAGTGCAAGATTCCATGAGAAATTTACATCTTATTTTTTAATACAGTAGAGATTTCATTCATGCAAACAGCTAGTCCCTAACGCTTAATTACAAACAACAGCAAAACCATCAGCATTTGTGGTCTTGCTGTAGCTGGACCCCGAACTGTTACAGTTTACCTGGAAGAAACTGTACGCTTTTCCAGTGACAGTTTTGTTCTGTGTTACTGAAATGTCTTCATTGCCTTTCTTCCTCTCTGTTTGGTTACTCATCCTCTAATGACTGTAAGGTATTTATGAAATTTAGCAATCTCCCCCTAAACACCCTCAGGTGCAGGGAACAATGAAGGGCACATCTGAGGAGCTATCCTTTGCTGCCTGCTGTCCTCTTCTCAGCATCTTCAAAAAGATCTCTTGCAGATGGCAACGCAGTGCAGTCCTTGCTTCCCAAGGTCCTTGCCACCTTGATTTGGAAGCCGATTGTATGTTGCTGCTGGTTTTTACACTCTGCTATCAGTTTCCATGTGCATGATTCTTTTACAAACTGTATTTCTGCTCTTAATTTCTGATCTTTTTTATGTTAAATTAAGGATTATTTAACATTTTCCAACTGAATCCATTGTCCTGTCCTTTGCTCTGTGCTTTTGCCAGCATTGCTTTATTGCTGCTTATGCAATCTCTTTCAAAAGCTCTCTGATTTTATCTTGCTATTTGATATACTCAGTGGCTCAAAGATGATGAAAGATTTCAAGTAGCTTGATGATGGGATAATTCCTCCTTGTTTCACAGCTGGCGGCCGGTAGTGTCACTTCAGCAGCATAAACACAGTTTCTGGGCTTCTGCATGTTCTGTTATTGGTGCTGAAAGGTGTAGTTTACTAAAAGCAAAATGGTTTTTCTTTTTCATGTTGTTTTGCCTTTGTGTTTGGGTAGTGTTGTTTTGGTCAATGGGGGCCTTTTTTCACAAATTCTTCTATGGTAAGTAAAATTGATTATCACATTCAAATTTCCATCAGTGATTCCAGTGATATTCCCTATACGTGCTTTTCATAGACAAGCTAGAGCAATCTGTGGATTTGTTAATGATAGTGAGCAAAAAATACTCTGGAATTATTAGAACAAGAGTAAAAACATTTGCCAAGATTGTCTCTTAATCTGTTTATGTACTTTCTGAGAACCTGCATTGTTTCCTATTTTATTTATTGGTTGTCTTTTTCTCTATGTACTTCTTCACAGCAGCAGCTTGTCCATACTGGAAAGTTCTTCTGATAAAGGCATATCTTATTGTACACTTGGAAAATACTTTAAAAAATTAAAGCAATGAAAGACAAGGAAAGTCAAGCCATTGAGGGTGGAGAACTTTAGATAGCCTCAACATTTCATTTTAGTTCTATATTATTAGCAGTGTTTATAAAGGAGAAACACAAATAAAAGACCTTGCCTTTAGATCTTTGGTAGCTTTTAAGTCATATGCTCATAAAATGTTCCTTTTTTGTATTTAGTGTTGCTATTATTTCATTTTTGTTGCTAGTTCAATCACAGTGCTTTTTATAGAAATCCTGCTGGCTATTAGGATATGCTGTATTCTTAACAGATGAACATTCTCCCTTGTGATATTTTGTTTCACAGTCACTATCTTCTCAAAAATGTGGTATGTCTCTTTGGACTATATTACTAATGTACCTGAAAAATACAGGTGAACTACGAGTACTTCATCCTCTCCTAAAGTTGCATACATTGAATTCCCTCTTGGCATATTTTAATTTATTGATTATAAAATATTTAACTGTGCAAATATTTACAAACCAGAGAAGATCCATTCTGTGGAGAGGATGAATTTTTCCTTTCTGAGCTCGTTTAAAGAGCCCTCCAAAATTTTTATTTTCTGATGCTTTCCACTAATGTATTATATGGATGATGTAAAGCTTATAATTCATGGAATTGCCTAAAAGGAACTGGCAATTTTAGGGTCTTTTCTCATCTCTTTCCTATGATGCACAGTTTAATCATTAATATTTTTGTGTTGGTACAGCATCCAGTATACTATATAACATTGCTGTTTCCAAATCAGACCAGAATAAGGACATTTATTAGCGCAGCTACCAGTATTACTCAGCCTGCAGAGTATCTGAATGTTCTGACACTGTGTACGGCTTCTTGTTAAGCTCAGCACATGCCACGTTTCAAGTACAGCTGACATTCTTTCACTCTCTCTCTGTTATTGTTTTCCTTTTAATCAGGCCTCTGTGATATATATCAAAGAAGTGACTGCCTAGCATCAGAATGAAGACAAACTCTGCGAGCAGCCCACGCTGCTGTATATTTTAGCAAAACTGGGAGACTTTACTGGGAGGCTGGAGTTGCTGCATTCAGAACAGACCTGGATAAAATGTATTCTCACTTTTGTGACTGTGCACCAAAGAAGTAAAACATTTCCCCTTAATTCAGTGGCATTCTGATGCCATGCGTCAGGCAAGTGCTAGAGTTTATTTTCTTGATTTATTTAATAATCTCTTCCCATCACTCTTACTGGAAATTTTTTTAAGAAGAGAGGATCTGTTTTCACCTGGGAGCCTGTGCTTGATCTTTGTTCCTACTTCATCTCATAATGTTCTAGGGAAATCACAATAATTTCCAAAGAAATTTAGACTAGACCCAGCAAAGGAAACGAGGACTAGTAAGGCAGAAGTGAGCTTGCCTCTGAAGTTTAAAACCTCTAGCAGTCTCCTAGTGCACACTTCTGTGCAGGATAACTTGGATCTCCCATGCAAATAACTCGATGGGAAGAATGAACGCCTGTTGCTCAGATCCTGAAAATGTACACACCATTTTTCTCATTCGGATGTGACAGCCGTGGGTCAAGGCTTTTGTGCCCTACAGCTGACAGGCAGTTTACAGGCTGCTAATTACCACCTCTCAGCTGCCAGTTCTCATTTCTGTCTCCTTCTGAGCCAGAATCAGAGTTGTCCCTCTGTGATTACCCCGGTCTCCTACAGAGTGAAATCAATTTGATTTGAACAATTTTTTTTTGCTGGTACCAAAAGGGAACAGAGATTTTCATATTGCCTCTAGCAGCCGGAGGGCATCATAAAGAGCATCTGCCAGCAAGGCCTCCTGCCTCTCCAGAGTTCAGGTGCCTCAGCCCGTTTGGGCTGAGCAGGCTCTGACCCCCTGCAGGCTGTGGGCACCTACAGCCGTTCTGTCACCGGAGCGGCTTTGATGACCACAGTATCCTGTGAGATGGGACGTGGAGAATTGAATCCCGGCCTGCAAAGGCACTAATCTGCATATTGTACTTTCTGTTACTACAACTAATACGTTGTAAGGAAGAAAGGCATCCACTCGTCTTGCAGTGGTTTACAGGGAGGACGGTCATGCTGCTCTGCGGGAGGCATGCGGCTGGGCTGAGCTCTGCTGAGGCTTTGCACACACTCCAGGGGCGACCTGCATGGTCTCTGCTTGCCCTGGGAAGTGGGAGGGAGCTGGCACTTGCTCCCCTGAGCCTCAGTCTGATCTGAGCAAGTGCAGAAGCAGCCTACAGAACTTGTTAGTCAAAAAGGAAGATTTAGTGAACGTA